ATCTGAGGCACGTGCTCAAAATTCAGCACCATTTAATTATATATATATATATATTGTGGATCAATTTTCATCATAAAATATTATAACCTAAACTTTCATGTCCTAAAGAACATAAATTTTCATGAAAATCCTTATATAGGGCAGGATCCACCAACAGGCTTACGTGGTCCAAATTAATTTTTTTATCTTAAATTACTATTATGATCGGATTTTTGTCACGAAGCACTGAAAATTAGACTTTTTTCTCATATGAACTTTAATTTTCGTTATATGAGAGTGGGGTTCAAAAAATATTCCGCAGCTGGTCCAAATGTTCCACACCAATTTAGAATGCCGAATTACTATTACTTAGCCGCCTTCCTCGAGAAATTTTGAGAAATGCAATTATGACCATATAACGACTGTTTTAAATAGGAAGTTATATGGCGAGTGATCAAAAAAGTGAACCGATCGAAGCCATATTCAATTGCACTCGTCTTTGGGCCAAAGCACGTCATTGTCTCAAAGCACCTTAAAAATTGCGTCCAGCAATTTGAACACTAATCATCATGGACAGCCATCAGATGGACAGACGGACTGACAAGCTTAGATTAATTCAGGAAATGATTTTGAATCGAATAAAAATTGGATCTATTTTAAGCTTTTCTGTGTGTTACATATGTGCGCACAAACTTGATATATCCTGTACAGCAAGTGAGGTAAGGTATAATAAATATGGATCTTAGGTTTTATTGTGATTTAGACAAACTTGATTCCATTCATTTAAATTTCGAAAATTTCCCAATCGCTTTTTCGCTCTACATATGTATTAAAGTTAGTAGCGTCCAAAGTAGACTTGCAAGTCGAACGTCTCTCTGGTGATCGAATATTGATAAAAGAAATTTCGTCGTTTCCTCTTTTTCTCTCCCAATTAAATGCTTATGTATTAAATATGTATGGTATGGAGAAAAAAAAAAGAAGAGAGAGAGAGAGAGAAATCGAGCAATTTTTCCAAATCTATTTCTTCTGAATTTTTTACTTATTTTATTTTTACCATCTACATGGCTTTACGTGATCGTAACCTTTTTCACCTCCCTTGCCTTCGATGTCATAATCCCTAGCAGATGAAAAGAAAGTTAAGTTGAGTACCTATTCTCAATCATCTCGAGCAAATAGCTTGAAGTCGTTAGTTGGTCGCTTTAGTCGGTAGTGGACTAAAGCATTTTCTGCAAACTATCCTTATATAACCCAAACAATTTATTAATGTATTTTTCGCCATCTTTTCGAATCGCTCTTCAATTATTATTAACCTAATGTTGAGCAATATTAGATCGTTTTCGAAAACTCTAAACCGTGCAATTCAGATAATAATGTCAAGTATCGAGTTTACGATGCGTAGGGAATTTTGGTAACCCCAACAATAGGCGATAGATAAAGCGAAATGAATCCAAACACTTGAACCGGGAATATTTATATTTATATAACTTTTGAATGAAGACAAGTTCATGCACCCATAGTACGTAACCAATACTTGCAGTGCCTTTATAAGTCCGAAATAAAGGCGGTAGTAAGCAATTCTAATGAATTTAAGTATGTATTTGCAAGATTGTAATAAAAATGCTTAACAAACAATAATTAAGTGATATTCGTATTCAAGAGAACAAAGTCAATATTGATTTGATTGACACGATAGGTGTTTAAAGCATGTGCTCTGCGGACGGATTTCATCACTCGATTTGTCGGCATATCCAAGGTCTCTTTTATTGATCGTTACACCTTCCCTTTAATGGTCTTCATTATACTGCATCTTAACTTTGATAAAGCTCGCTTGTCTTTAGACCTCATTCCGCTGATATCATTTAGAGGCGTTTCGATCCGTATTGTTATCATCAATGATAATTTGCTCGTTTCTGATCGTTCTGATCGTTTGTTTACCTCTCAAGCAATTATGGATCCATTCACTTACATCATCACCTGAGCAATTCTACTGATTTTGTTTTCATTCCCTCCCCTTGTATTATCCAGGAAAGTCGGTATCACTGTTTCCTTTCAAGATGAGATTTCTTAATGTATTTATGAACATCTAGCTGGCATAATTGTCATTCTCACAAAAATCGAGAAGGCAAGCCAAAGCTTAGTGCATAGATTTCCATAGATTCATTCAAGATCGCATATTAGATTTAAAAATGTTCGCTAGATCTGCCCGCGAATATGAGAGAGCGTAGAAAAACTTCTAAAAAAAAATTGTAGAAATCTATTTTAATACAAATATTAATTAAAGAAATGAAAATTTGATTTCGATCGACTTGCTGACTGGTCCGTTATCCATATTTTAAGCCAAAGTATTTTTTCATTGTATTTATCTTGGGTGAATGCAACGATTTTGACTTAGTTTTCAATGTCTAAGCGAGTTATATAATTGTAATTAAGCTTGAGTGCGCGTTTGTATGCGCGCGCGCGCGTGTGTATGTGTGTGTATGTATGTATGTATGTATGTATGTGTGTGTGTGTGTGTGTGTGTGTGGAAAGAAGTAAAGTGAAGTGGTGTGGAATGTAGAACAAAAGCTTCCAGAACTTGATATACCTTAGTTCCTGCTTTAAAAGTTCATACAATAACTTCCGGCCTTTCAATTAGTGTGTCATAGCGTTAATAACATACTGAACGATACTAAGAGTATTTAGCAATGCGTTCGATCTCATGCGAAGCCGGGTTGAGATTTCTATATATCTAATTTATATATCACCTTACGCTTGTATCTATATATATATATATATATATATATGCGTAAATAGTAAAACATATTTGGAAATTGATCAACATGTGAAACAGGTTCAAACATATATCGCACACAATTGCATTCGATCTTGCGCTATATGCATAATATGCATACATATGCAAACAAGAGAAACTCGTTTTCACGCATTAATTGCACAAAACTTTGCTGATTTTTTTATTGCTATAAAAAAAAAAATATATATATATATATATATATATATAAAAAATTGAAAATAGAATAACAATATAAGTAAAGAGAATAATGAAAGAGAAAGAGAGAGAGAGAAAGAAAAAGTAAGAGAAAATACAAGTGCGAAAGAGAGAATATGAAAATTCTCTTACTTTGCTTAGTTGCAATATTTTGTAATTAAACCGGCATCTTGCTACGAAGAAGAATTATTCACAATGAAAAGTCGATTATGTTAGATAATCGAGAGAGCCGTGATAACCAATACGCTTAAATTGGACATTCTTACAATAAGATTATCACTAACAATGGGAATGACTGGCTGAGTGGATTGACATGAACTTGCGATAAACGTAAGTGAATACTGTTGAGTATGAATTTGACATAAATTGAAAGAAGAAGAAGACAGCAATTATATTCATCGAATCCTTTTTGAAATGAACGAGTTGCCGACACTGTAGATTTCTGCTTACTTACATTCGTAATACTATACTCTTTCAGATATATATTATAGATACAAATGTAAAAATGTCTATTCTGTCAGGGCGACCTCGCTCCACTTTTGTCCCTTTCCCCTTACTAATAAATCCGTTTTATTCCCAGCCTTCCATAATTTTTCCATTTTCCAATTTGTCCGAACACGAAGCGGATAATTTGTTTCTGGAAATGAGGCAAACAACTGATAGACTACTTATGTGCTTTGACAATATGGAAATGTTAGAGAATTTGGCCACTTAACGTTCATAATGGGAGATTTAGTGAAAATGAAGCCGTCGTAACCCGTAGTGATAATAGATTTTATTATCTACAGAAGCTGTCAACGTTAAATTGTTCTAAGATTAAAAGATAAACTTTGTCAAGTGGCATGGACTTCTTTACAAGTCTTGGATCGCGATTAGGGCGATTGCCCAGTCTCATCTAAAGGTAGACTAATTTAATTCCCCTATTGTCAATATCGACATGAGATTCTCTATCGATTTCATCATGTCGATCGATCTGTTCGCGTTTTCTTGAAACGAAAAAGGGTCTCTCTCTCTTTGATACACAATATCGTAAATCGACACTGAACACAAAATTGATCCATCTATAAACGAGTTGATAGAAACGCGGAATATTTCTCGTAATATCACATACTTGTTCACCAAATGCTTTATTAATTTTTTCTTAAGAAACTCGAAATCTTCGTCGAAGATTTGGTGCATTAAGCTCCGACTAGTCGAAGAGAAACTTGAAACTGGAATTTACAAAATTTTGTCCGCTGAATTAAATTTCAGATTTTCAATCTTTATTGACTTGTTTGCTCTCTCGAATCGCGGATGGATGGCAAAAATGCGAAGTGTTTAACATACCTTTGTGCAGATTTTTAAAAGAAAAGTACTTTCGAAAGTAAAAAAGTACATTTTAATATTTATAAAAAACTATGAGCATCTTTCATTTTTCATTTCTATCTGTCTGTCTGTCTGTCTGTCTGTCTGTCTGCTTGTCTGTCTTTCTCGAGTTTCTTCAGAAAATTATAAGCGATAGACGTACGACAAGAGAGTTTTGAGTACCTGTTATCGGTAATTAACGTTTTTTTTTTTTTTTTTGTATTTTTTTTTTTTTTATTAAAATTTTGGTGTTTTGCGTTGGTTTTTTAATTCACGCCGACTCGTTTAGAAGAAAGTCCAAACTATGTATATGTGCATGTACATCAACGTGAAATAAGATATTTAAACTCCGGGTATTTTCTTTTGCTATTTTTTTTTTTTTTTCTGCTGTAATAAAATAAGAGATTTTAAATGTCAAACCACACACATGGGTACTCGTACACAATGCGAATTTAATAAGAAAAGCAAATAAAAAAAACAGAAGAGAATTAGAGTCGCTGCTGTAGAGCAACAAGTAAAGAGAACAACAAGTATACAGTAGAGATAAAAAAAAAAAAAAAATCAAAAAGCACTCACACATATGCAGATAACAGTTGTTTTTCCATTTTGTTTGCCTCTGTGAATGTAAATGGAAAACGACATAAAACTTTTGGGCTTGTATTCAAAGAATTTCACCGATATTTAGTTTAGTGTTGTTTCTCCGGTCGCAGTCGTACTTCGGACATTCTACTCAACACACGCAACTAACTCTAAGTAATACTTAGTTGTAGTCGATTATTAGATTGTGTTTTCTTCTTATTTTTGTTTTTAAATTTTTATTTAACAAATTTTCTTTGCGTTATTTTTTCCCCTTCAAATCGAAAATAACAAACAAGAAGCTAATTAACCCGTAATCGATACGAAATAGAAAGAAAACATGTGTGCATTTACATATGCATACATACATTTAAACAGAAGAAAAGTGAAAAACATTAGCTTCCGAAAATAATTGCAAAAATTTTTCGTTTTATAATTTTTAAAAAATAAAAGGAAAGAAAAAATGAAAAGAATTCTTTGACCGCATAAATCGAATTTCTGAGATGAGCAGCATTATTATCGCAAATTGAACTAAGTTATTGTACTGAGCTGAATTTATTTGCAGTGAATTGAAACTGAATGAAATGGAAATGGAAGTGCAAGTGCAAATGTGTCCATAATTCATTATAAACGCGAAAATGTTAATTGATTCGCTTCGACACGCTTTTCAAATAATGCAAGAAACGTATTTAAGCGCTCATAACCGTTTATGAATTATTGAAATATTCATGAATCGAACAAGAAAAGATGACGAGAGTAATATTTTAAAATATTCTAAAAAGGGAGAAACCAAAACAAAAGAAAAGAAGAAAATATTCAACTATACATATATATATATATATATATATATATATATATGTATATATTAATGTATATATATGTTAACATAAGAAGAAAATAAATTGAACTCAAACATCTTGTAATTGAGAGAAGTTTCTAACAAACAAATAAACATTTGAAGCTGTTAATAGCAACAAGTGAAATAGTTAAACGATATTCATCATTATATACGCATTCCATCCACGGATACATACGCAAATACGCACGTATTATTTAAAAGAAATATCTAACAAGTGCTACTGTATGTTGCATACATATATATATATGTATGTATGTATATAATATAGATATATATATATATATATATATATATATATATATAGACATACTATAGACGCATACATATATGTGTATACATATACATATAAATATACATATATAAAGATACATATATGTATATAGAGACGCAATAAAATAATGAAAATAAATTAAAAGAAACCCTAAGCAGACCGCGTCAAGTATTTATTTGTGTTAACTGAACAATCGAAAATTGTGCAGAAAACGGCAAAAAGCAAACAGCAGAGACAAAGAGAAAGACAGACAGTCAGAGAGAGAGAGAGAGAGAGAGAGAGAGAGAGTGAAAGAGAGAAGACCTTAAAAAGTGCACACATACTCACTAACAAATATGTATGTGTAAAATCAACAGGTTTCTTCTTTTCTTCTGCTCTGCCTGCCATCAAACAATCTTTTGCTTCGCATTCATCTGTTTATCTCTACAATACTCGTATCTATATATCTATCTCTGCATTTGTTTATTCCTATGTGCTTGCGATGCATATTCTATTGTACATCGGAATGAAAATATAACTTCAAATTGTACGTATACATATAAAATTATATATATATATATATATATATATATACATATAAACATATATATATATATATATATATATATATATA